TGGAGAAGACAGAACTGAATTCTGGAAGGAAGAAAGCACAGTCATAGAGAGATGCCATGGATCCACCAGAGACAGATACTGGGAATTTTATTTGGTAAGCCACTGCCATGTGGTGATACACAGATTAATAGAAAAGGGTTAAACTAAGATGTAAAAATTAGCCTATAAGAAACTAGAATTAATGGGCCAAGCAGTGATTTAATTAATACAGTCTCTTTGTGGTTATTTCGGGGCTAAGCTAGCCAGGTGGCTAGTTAGAACAAGTGGGCCCTCCTCCTACGTGTGTGTGTGTGTGTGTGTGTGTGTGTGTGTGTGTGTGTGTGTGTGAAGGAGGCGGGAGAGGGAGCAGGGAAAGGAGCTTCTCCAACAAAATCCAGTTGAAATTTATTGCACCTAACTAGGATGGAAGTAGAATAGATGGGCAGGTTTGCCTAAAATTCTCTTTCATGTGCCCAGTTCGTGGCTGTTATAGATTGTATTAAAGAATTTTAACACATACACAGAAGCTATGTGCTTCCTTGATGCATTAAGTACTCATAAGTGCTTACTGTGTACTTGTCACCAGGCATAGGAAGATGCATCCTAGCAAGAGAGGGGGATTGGAGCTTTGTGGTTGTTTATTTGTTTGTCTTAAGGTAAAAAGTGGCAAGGGACTTAGAGGAGGGTCTAGTCCTCAGAGAAGGCATCAAATGTGAAGAATCCACAAAGGAATGATGATGTGTGAGGAGAAGATGGGAATTTCAGATTCAGGCAAATGAAAGAATTTGGGTATATATTGGGCTTGATGGTCAGGTCATCTGTACTTGTGACCGGACACTAAAAAGAAATCCCACACTAGCTCAGTATTGAGGAATAGATAGTTATTTATTTAGGGCTAAACTCACAAATCAGAATCCTTTAGTTGAATCACACGATCCAAAACAAGCAGCCGGCAGAAAGGAGCAAGGGGAAGGAGAAAAAAAGGACAAAACGAGATTTTTTTTTTACCGCATATATAGTATAAGAGGCTACACCTCAGTAGGCGGGTACTTCCGAGCTGCAGGTCTTTGTACAGCACCTCCCCCTTTTGTTTAAATAATAGAGTTTTAAGACTAATACAAAATTATAAACAATAAGAACAAATATCCTATTTAACTAGCTTAAGTCTTGTATAATAAATAACTTGGCCAAGTCATGAGAGGAAGTAACTACAATTATCTAGTCTCTGACCCCTCGAAGATCGGAGAAGGGAAATAATATTACTTGAGTAAGTAGGAAGTACAATCAAGCAACTTCTAAAACATGTAACAAATGACAGCGACAACTGGCTACCTGGGCAATCACCCAAAGTCTCATTTGCAACATTGAAGCAACCAACTTTTGGCTAAGGCCTAGAGTAACTGCCAGACCATTTTTAAAGGCAAGAAGTTTTTCAAAACTGTCTTACCCTGTCTTGGCAAGATTTGACAGTCCTGTTTATCCATTTCCAGATACTATATATCTTGTCACTGGTTGAGGCATGGGCATTTCTTTGCCCAAAGGCCAGTTTTTGCCAAGAAGAAAACAAGCTCCAAGTGGAATATCTTTGGTGCTCAACGTTCTCTTTGGAATAGATCAGTGCTGCCAGGAGCAATTGTGTCTCACGTTAATAGAACTCTTAAGTTCTGTTAACACACACAGGCACACACAAAAGTGTGCTAGTTGAACAAAGGGAAACTATATATTTCTAAATAAATTCTCAACAAAGATTTGACTGAACTTGCTCCTGAGATCTGAATAAGTAGCCTGAGTGGGAAAGAAGTCAAGACTGTAATTAAAGTCCTGAGTCCAAACTGTGGTAATAACTGAGTGTGCTTAAGTGAGCCCCATTTCCTTCACCTCAAAGTCATTGCCTGCAATGGAGATAAATATATCTTCCTGTTCTGCATGAAGAATCTGCATGAAGTGCCAAGTGGGCAAAAAGAAGTTAAGGCGGTGGTGGCGCACGCCTTTAATCCCAGAACTCGGGAGGCAGAGGCAGGCGGATCTCTGGGAGTTCGAGGCCAGGCTGGTCTACAAGAGCTAGTTCCAGGACAGGCACCAAACCTACAGAGAAACCCTGTCTCGAGAA